TAACAACAACAAACAAACAACAAACAAACAAACAAAAACCCAACTCCCTGAGAAAAAAACAAACGAAACAAACAGCTAATCACAAAGCATAAACAAACACACACACACACACAAACAAACCAACCAACCAACTGCAATGCCCGTCAAAACCATGTTATTATTATTAATTATATGTTTTCATCCAGCATATTATAAGCCTTTTGGACTTTTATCCGTGCGTACTACTATATTAGGGTGATATTAGCCTCACGATCTTGTTAAAAGCTGTTTCAGCCACCTTGCTTTCACATCACCTGTTAACAATTATTAATCCTCTTTCGCCCAGGGGGGGACCGAAACCGATGGTAACGTGTTTTCCTATGTAACTGACCTAGTCAGCCAGGGTTGACTTTAGTAATAATAAATGCTTGCCGTCTCCCAATCACACTACACGTTTCTCTTTTATTTCCTGTTTTGACAGTTTCCCACGATGATCTCAACTAAAAATAGAACAGCTTTAATATGTTTGATGATTGTAGTATATGTAGTTGTCTTTTAAGTCGTACGTGAGGAGCTTAAGTAAGTTAGTTAAATCCGTCGTGTGTGTTTGGAGGTGAGAAGGGCCGGCCACTCCCCCCGCTGGGTGACCAGAGAGACCCTTCCTGTGCGTCGTGACAAACGGAGGCTGGCCTGATGGACGCTTCATTTCCCTCCTGGTCAGTGTTAGGCAATAGTGTTTCGTGTCTTACGTGCTTTGGTTTTGGGGGGAAGGCTGTAATAGATTGTGTGTGACTCGATCAGTCAAGCTCAGATTGGATATTTGCCATTCGTATAGTATATGTCCCTCCCCGAGTCGTTGGCTTCTGATGTGTGTGTGTGTGCAGGAAGTACGGTCGTTTCGCTGCGCTTGCCAGCGCGGACAGTAGTAGTAGCAGATAGGAGCGGATAGCCATCCGAGTTTTTCCGACGAATTTGTCAGGTTTGTGGTAGTTTATGAATTGTGTGCATGTGTGTGTGTGTGTGTGTGTGTGTGTGTGTGTGTGTGTGTGTGTGTTAAAGTTTAAGAGAGATATTCCTCAGAGTGAGCTAGTTGTTACTAGGTAGCCTACCAGCTTCTTCTTTATTATTTTTTTTTGCAATCAGCCCTTTTACTGGCTGCTGTCATTCGGCTGGTAACATAATTTGTCCAGATATGACGACGTT